CAGGAGAACCAGAAGACCTCGGAGAAACCCCGCCCCAGCGCCCCTCTGTCCACCACAAATCCCACTTGATCAGACTCGGTGGGAAGCCAGCGACTAACCGCTTGAGCTATGGCGCGGCCAACTTGTTTTAAGTACTTTAAACCATCTCTAACTGTGATCAGTAGGGAGAAAGTGTAGTATGAGTTGGTGAAAAATCCTAATTGTAGAACTTAACCGTATGTAAACATTTTCGAGACGTATTTCGTCTTAAAAACGGAAAAAATTATTTTTTTTATCATTACATAGATACTGTATGTGTATTTTGGTAGTTATAGTATCATTCGACGGTAAATAAGAAATTATGTCATTAAATTATTGTTGCGGGAAATTTCCGTCGTGCGTAAATAAAAGACAGCGGCCCTAATTACAAAGGGTCCGACTGAGTGAAGTTTTACTGTACATGAATAAACTTTAATATAACACACGCAGTCACAGGAGCAAGAAACAACACAAAGCACAATAATACACGATAGTGAAAGAGTGCTCCAACAGAAAAGGATAGATGTGACTCGCGTAGTGAGATACGACGTAGGGAAGAAAAAAAATCCTGAACAATTTTAATATTTTTAACATTTAACATTTATCAGTATATATGATAAATATATATTTTAGTTATTTTTATATGAAGACAAGGCATGCAATGAACTAGTTTAGCGTAAATTGAATAAGCACCTGAAGATGGCACTTTTGTGCCGAAACGTGTAGTGCGAATGAGAGGAGGAGATAGATGAGTGTATGCACTGGAAGACGGTTGAAATAAATCATGGACTTTAATTTCTTAATTTAATTGTTAATCTGGGGGCACGCGGTGGCGTAGTTGGTTGAGGCACTATGCTACAAGTCGGAAGGTTCTATTGTCGATGAGACCATTGGATTTTTCAATTGACTTAACCCTTCCAGCCGCACTGTGGCCCTCGGGTCGTCTCAGATTCTAACAGAAATGAGTACCAAGAATCTTCCTAGGGGATAAAAGGCCTGCCGGCGCGTAAGGCTGACAACATTACCGGAATCTGCGAGTCGATTGTCTAGAAAATGTGGGAGCCTCGACGTCTCACAATCCTATGAGCCTCCACGCCTTATGTCAGGGGTAGCTTTGCCTTTCTTACCTTCAAGTGTTTTTCCTTCTTTTAAATTTTGGTTAGTGCTTACTGTAATAGTGACAAGGCATGAAAGTATTTCCCCACTCGAAGGAAGGCACAGCAGATTCTTCTGTATTGGGCAGTGGTTACTGAGTAATGGTTGTTAATGTGGAAAACAAGGATAAACATCTGTTGTTTATCTTGCGTGAAATGTGGCCTCATATCCGACCTATATCATAAAGGCCACATAGCCGTAATATTATTAGTTCGTACGTTCAGAATCCTCCCCAGTTGAGCCCCGCCCATGAGGGATCTCTCAGGTGCTTCAACACCCCAGATCTCTGTAACTAAAATATGTTTGTGGCTTATGCCTCCAGGTAGGATCTGTGACCATGGTGACCTCTGCCGGCCTCACCAATCTATGCAGGTTTATTTCAAACTGTTATTCTGGACTATCCAACGTCCGAGTTTATTAAAATCCCTTACGTTTTGAAAATTGCTTTCATTTCCGTCTTCATGTCAACAATATACGAAAGAAAACAGACTCTATTCGACCTCGGGGGTAAAGCTTTCGGGGCGTGTGGCTGATCACTCGTTTCCATCTAATGCCGAGGTTAAGAATGCGTGGAGCTATACCTCCACTCCATATGTGTAAATGGCTTGGTGCTTAATTAAACAGTGGAATTACTTTACATTGCCTTTGATTTGGAGCACGAGGTAGCGTAGTTGGTTGAGTCATTATGTTATGGGCCGGAAGGTCACGGGTTGGACTCCCGATGAGGTCATTGGATTTTTCAATTGACCTAAACCTTCCAGCCGCACTATGGCCCTGGGGTCGACTGAGCCTCTAACAGAAATGATTACCAGGAATCTTCCTGGGGAGTAAAGCGCGGCCGGCGCGTAAGGCTGACAACCTCGCCACCATCTGTGACCAGATTGTTTAGAAAAAGTGGGATCCTCGACGTCTCACAACCCTATGGACTTCCACGGCATGTTACATTGATAGCTCAATCGGTAAAGCTGGACTAGGTTACGGGCTGGACGACCGAGGAGTCAGGGTTCGATTCCCGGCAGAGAAAATATTTTTTCCTTTTTTTTTTTTTTGTACACGTCCAGACTGACTCTATGGCCCACGCAGTTTGCTATACAACCGAGTACCAGGGGCTATTTCCCCTGACTTAAAGGCGCAAGGGCGTAAAGCTGAACACTCACTTCCATCTAGTGCGTAGGTTAAGAATGGTGGATGTATACCTTCACTCCCCCATACGTTCTGGCGTGGTGCTTAATTAAGTAAGGCCGAGAATAACTTTACCATCGATCTTGTTAAGTAGTCGTGTCTGTTCTGAAATTGGAGGTATGAGTTCCTTTCTTTCAGCTTCGGGGCCCCATGTGGCAGATCAGCAATTGCTCTCTCTGATTGATTCATAATCAGAAATTAATTATCTGTGTTACTTCTTGTAGGGTGATTCGCCTTTTGGCAAGTCTGAAGCTTATATCAAATTGGAGCAGCTTGGAGAGGGATCCTACGCAACTGTTTTCAAAGGTTATAGCAAGTAAGTACACAAAATATATTCCATTTTCCTGGAATTTCTGGATACATTTAAATTCTTGTTTTCTTTTACTGACCTGGATCTAAGAAAAAAAATAGATTGGGTTGGTATAGACTGGATTGATCTGGCTGGGGATGGGAAACAGAGGTGGGCTCTTCTTAACATTGAAGTTCTGTAAAATGTTGGGAAAATCTTGAGTTACTGAGCAACTGGTAGATTCTTTACAAAGGACACAGTGGAGGACAGTAGAATCCAAATGCACTAAGTTTAATTAAAAGCTCTCTCTATTGTGGACTTTAACACCTTTTCATGCTGTGAAAATTTATATATAACTTTGAAATTGATTCTTCTTCCTTTTGTATTTTGATCTTCTGGGTTGTGGCATCCTGTAGATTATTACTATCAGAGACTGCTTTAGAATAGTCCTGACCACTGCTTGAAGACAGTACAGTGCCCACCAAATAAAATTTAAGTAACATTTTAAAGTGAACCAGATATCGCTTCTGTTAGGAAAATATTCTCCCATATTTCTATTGTAAGATTATATACAATGATCCTGAAATAAATTATTTCATTCTGTAAGCAACTCAAACACTTGGCTGAAAAAAGATTAAAACGTGTCAGTGGTAAATACAAAAGTGAGGGCCAGGAAAAGGGTAAACACTAACACTGTTGTCAGTGTATGGCACAGAAAGACAGATTGTGCAAGATGTAGACCAAACATGAACACATGTCTAAGGTAAACATGGCACAGTGCAACTGGTGAGGAACAGTTTATGGGTTGAAAATAAAACGCACATCAGAGAACAGAAACTACTATTCCTTTCTGAGAAATGTAGAGTTGATTGAGACAGTAGTGTAAATCAGAGTAGGTAAAACCAAAAAGTCTTTATCTTGAAGGAAATAGTGTTTTCCACAATTATAGAATCAGTAATATAATGCAGACTGAACATGCAACAGTTCCCATCTGTAACTGTGTTCTCCGCAGATAATCCTGTCCTTTATCCACCCTTATATATCAAAGACCTTGAGGGACATTCTGAAATCAGTGTTTCACTGAATATACATTCAGTGTACTTGAAATTTCTTTAAACTTAGCTTGATAAGACAGGCCTCAACATAACAGTCTAGAGAAACTTTCTTTCTAAGCAGTGATTGACACTGACATAACAACTGGAACATTGCTGTTCATCTTGTAAATTTTAGGCGTCCCATCTTTAACTATATTTTCGTTTGATGACCTTACCCTTATCCACTTATGCTGATGTAATGGTACTCTGTAATTGTTATAGTTTTGTGTGTTGATATTCATCATAAAGTACAGAATACATCCACATCATGTTGAAGGCTTAAGTAAACTCAGTAATCTGAAGAGAGGTCCTGTATACTGTATATAAAGTTACAGACATGAAGGAGCCAGCCCTTTGCAGGAAATGGAATCTTCGCCTTCTGTACTTACTTACTTACTTACTTACTTACTCATGGAGGTGAGCCCTTCTGGAGGAGCCGCCAATTCTACAGCTACTCAAGAAAATTCCAGCATTTTATGGAATCCGAAGGTTCATTACCGTGTTCACAAGAGCCCTCCACTGGCCCCTGTCCTGAGTCAGATCAATCCAATCAATACCATCACATCCTATCTCTCTAAGAACCATTTTAATATTGTCTGCCCACCTACGCCTTGGTCTTCCCAGTGGACTCTTTCCTTCTGGCTTTCCCACCAATATCCTATACGCATTCCTCGTCTCCCCCATTCGTGCTACATGCCCTGCCCACCTCATCCTCCTCGACTTGATCATTCTAATTATACTGGGACAAGAGTGCAAGTTATGAAGCTCCTCATTATGCAGTTTTCTCCAGCTTCCTGTCACTTCATCTCTCTTCGGTCCAAATATTTTCCTCAACAGCCTGTTCTCAAACACCCTCAGCCTATGTTCCTCCCTTAATGTCAGAGACCAAGTTTCAAACCCATACAGAACCACAGGCAAAATTATAGTTTTGTATATTCTAATTTTTATGTTTTTTGACAGCAGACAAGAATGACTGCCTTCTGTATGCAAGAAATATTCTAAATATTGTATTTAAGTGTCATAATTTGAGTGCTGTTGTTATTTCACAGTAATATCTGTTTTTACAAGATAATGTAAGAAGTGAATGAATTGTGATCTTTATTTTAAATGGAACTGGAGTGTAGACAGTATGAACTTGCACTGTTTCAGTCTCATTTCAGGTTCTTTTGTGTTTCCGTATCAATTCTTTAAAGAACACGTGTGTATATAATTTTATTTGAAATCGGACATAACCAAATGTTGTCAGTAAGTCTGAAATTTACAATAGAGAATGTGTAGATCATTTGCAGGTTATGTATTTGTGTATGTAAGGACTGAAATATTGATTATGTATTGTAATTTTATAGCTTAACTAACCAAGTGGTGGCCTTAAAGGAGATAAGACTTCAGGAGGAGGAAGGTGCCCCCTTCACTGCCATTCGTGAAGCCTCACTGCTCAAAGAATTAAAGCATGCCAACATCGTCACTTTGCATGACATTGTACACACGCGAGAAACGCTCACCTTCGTCTTTGAATATGTGGTAAGTCTTATTTAGCATAACCTTTATTGGCCATATGTTGCTTTATTGTGACAGTGGTGCATATTTATATCTGCATCCCAAAGTTGAAATCTATACGCCAACCCTGTAGTGTAGGGAGATTTGAATCCCCCTCATCTATTGTTGCATTTGACTGCTGCATTATTAAGAATCTGCTGCCTAGCAACGGGAACGTGTTCACTGAGTCTTTGCCCAGAAACAGCCATGGTATATCCGCCCATCTTATGGTCGTTGCATAGCAATGACTCCACACGCTACAATACAAACAGAAATTTTTTGGTTTTAATTTTTATTCTGTCATGAAGGATCTAGGGTAGCTCAGTCAGTATAGCAATGGGCTACAGGCTGGATGGCTTGGGTTTGATTCCTGCCAGGGGCAAGATTTTTCTCTTCTTTACAGCTTCCTGACCGGTTCTGGGGCCCACCCTGCTTCCTCTCCAAGGGCTATCTGGGGCTCTTGCCCCACAAATAAAGCAGTTGTGACGTGCAGCCACCACTCACCTCCATTTACTGTCAAGGTCAAGAATAGTGGAGCTATACGTCCACTGCCCCATGTGTCTTCATTTAAGCATGGGGATTGTACCTTTAGCTGAAGGGCAGTCAGTAAAAATAGGCTTAAATGGCCTTAAACGCAAGTTTGTAAGTAAACTTTCTGGGTGTACCCTCTTGGAAAGGACCCTTGGAGCACCCATGTTCCCAGGGGATGAAGTTAAATGTAGGTTAGGAGTTATCAGAATATATTTCAAACCTCTAGCTGGTGAAATGTTTCAAAGACTTTTCCAAAAAAAAATGCTAGCTTGCTCCATGCTTCTCACCAGTCTCTTCCTTGGATTAACCTTCATCCCTGGAAATGGCAGTGATATGTTTTTCTGAAACGTCAGTCGACTTTCAGTGGACTACACAGCATTATATCCCACAAGATAGTACTCTTCTTAGCCACTGCTGTGAGAACCTCAAATCCTACAACATTATAGGTACTCAGTCCTTTTCGCACAGCCTGATGCTACAGGCTATGTATGCATTCCATTTGTTTGTTCCTTGTTCTTTGTGTTACAGATGGTAATACTATTATATTGTAGCACCCTGTTGCACTTTTCACTTAGTGTTGATTAGTTTTTACAGTCTCGTGTGCAACACTATGTTTTATAAAATGTATTAAAAGTTATTCACTTTAAATGTTTAAAAGGCAATCCCTACATGTTTCGACCAATGTGATCAACATCAGCTGTTAAAATTCTGGAACAAGACGTGCAGCACAGCACACAGCAGTAGGGAACACAACCCACCAGGTCAGACAAGCATGCGCATTCAGAGGACAACAACAGGACAGCAGTTTCCTCATAAAAAATTTTAACACCTTATGATGATCGCATTGGTTGAAACATGTAGTGATGAACTTTTTTTTAAACTACTAACTATTTGTCGCATGTGAGACTGTAAAAAACTAATTGACATTAAATGATAATACTGTGAAGGAGTACATGTTACCTTTGTTGCAGCACACTGACCTCTCGCAATACATGGAGAAGCACAGCGGGGGTTTGGAGCATCGAAATGTGAGGCTTTTCCTGTTCCAACTCCTCCGAGGCCTAGCATATTGTCACCGGCGGAGAGTCCTGCACAGGGACGTGAAACCACAAAACCTGCTCATCAGTGAGATGGGAGAACTCAAACTCGCAGATTTTGGTACTCAGATTTAAGTCTGCTCTAAGCTTTAGGTTTGGGGACAGACAGTAATAAAGAGCCGTTAACAGGCAGAGCTGGAAATTCAGTTGTCATGTAAAGCTATACCTGGATGTACAAAAAGAAATTCATTCTTGACCTTTGTAATGTGTCATTGCATGCTTGCTTATCTTTTATTATGTAAAGAGAGAGTGTTTGTGGTGATGATGATGATAATAATAATAATACATTATTTAGTACAGTTTGGTATAAAATAATCTTCCAGTTTGAGTTCCTTTGCAGTTCTCTGTTTCTCAACTGTTCAGCACACAAATACCATGTTAGTTCAAAAGTGTAGTGATACAAGCGAGGTGCTGTTCAAGTCTTGTGAACAAGGGACAATAAGTGACAATAATCACAGGGTTTGGATTGGTTCACATTTCTCTGTACATCTGGTCTCATTATCAGTAGCTATAATATGTGATACTTGAGTGTCTCACAATGATGACTATGAAGATAACTGTCTTTTTTCATGTAGATTCTAAAAGATATGTAATACTCAGAATTACTGGGTTTTTGGACTTTGCATAAATTTCTACCTACTTTTCTATCCCAGTTCCATTCATGTGCATGCTATATCACAGTTTTTATTGCATAATTTCTTGTTATTTCCCCCCAAATTAGCCAGGTTTCAGGTACTTAAATAGCTGTAGTGAATCTGACAGGGGTTGATTGAGGTTAGCTCTTTCTAAAGGACCCAACAGAGTAGATGTATTCCCCCCGCCTCACCAGAGGAAGAAAACAGATCCAGTATCCAAAACGTTGTGTTTTCTAGTTTCTAGAATACCAGGTGATGGACAAAGTCCAAAAACCCAGTAATTCTGAATATCATTTGTCATGCAATCCCATAGATATGCAACAGTGTTTTGGAAGAACCTGCCGCATCATGGGGCACGAGACTAAGCTGTGTAGGAAGGAACAGTCACTGGTATAGGGAAGGGCTAGGGATAAGATTGGGAAGGGTGTAAAATGAAATCCTGTCACACCGAAAAGGGCTCTTGTAGGCAGGAAGAGGTTAAAGTGAACCTGTGAAAGCACACCCATTGGTTCATCCTTAGCATCCGTAACTGTCCCTTATTCTTCTGCAGTGAGTATGGAGACAGCAGGTTGCTCTGAAACGTTGTTCACTATCTGCCAGACTAGACAGAGGAGTCGCATTGCAGAAGAGGGTAGACGGTAATTTTCAGTGACAGTAATGGATTCAGACAGAATAAACAACACCTTGCCGTAGCTTTACATTTGTCTGTTCCGCATACCCAACATCTCTGAATCTTTCACTACCTTCTCGGTAGTTTTGCTACTTTGACTTCAGCGCCACTTCTGTTTCTTTAACAGGCCTTGCAAGAGCGAAGTCAGTACCTTCACATACGTACTCGCATGAAGTGGTGACATTGTGGTATCGCCCGCCAGATGTTCTTCTGGGGAGCACCGAATACTCAACGTCTCTAGACATGTGGGGTGTAGGCTGTATTTTTGTTGAAATGATCACCGGAGTGCCCACATTTCCAGGTGTTCGTGATACATACGATCAGCTCGACAAAATATTTAAGGTAACTATTATAATGTGACAGACTGTGAGTTGCAGGAACAAGTAGATTGAACCCATTAGCTGCAATCACTGACTTCTGTATATGAATTTAATTTCAGGTAACATTTACAAGACAGTATACCAATGAATTAAAATCTGGGGAGAATGTAACATAGAAATAATAAAGTACAGAGGTAAATGTTATGGTATTCAAAGTAAATAACCAGTAAGAACCAAAATTTGTCTCAACAAGAAACAAACTGAACAAGTCAGCATGGTTAGATACCTGGGGAACAGTGAAAATATTAAGTAACTAAATTATTTGGCCTGAAATTACGTGATTTGACTGTAGCCACATTATTGCATTGATCAGAGTGCCTGCCCCTAACTAAACAACAGGAGAGTCAAATTGAGGCAGCTGAAATGAGGCTCTTAAGGGCTGTTGGAGATTATAGGAAAACAGACCATATGAGGAACTACAGTCAGAAAAAGAAGGTAAAGCTGTCCCTGTAACGGGCCGTGGAGGCCCATGGGGTTTTGAGACATCGAGACTCCCACATTTTCTAGGCAGTCGGCTCACAGATGGCGGTGAGGTTGTCAGCCTTAAACTCCAGCTACCCTTTACCCCCCCAGGAAGATTCCTGGTACTCATTTCTGTTAGAGGCTGAGTTCAACCCAGGGCCATAGTGCGGCTGGAAGGATTAGGTCAATTTAAAAATCCAGTGACCTCATCTTGAATTGACCCCACAACCTTCCAGCTTGTAACATAGTGCCTCAACCAACTACGCTACCACATGCCCCATTATACTATAAAAATAAAAATTGTTTCAACTGTCTTAAAAGAACTAAATATATTTAACATCCTAGACAGAATAGTAGAATGTCAGTTGAACTGGTTACTTCCATCACCTGGAAAGGAAGGACAAAGGCAGGTTTTCTGAGGAATTTTTGACAGGGTGAAGATGAGGATCATGCCATCACATGGAGTGCTGATATATAATGTATATGCAGATTCTAGGTACGCCAACAGAAGAAACATGGCCTGGAGTCTCACAGCTACCGGTCTACAAACCACGCAAACTTCGTTTCTACCGAGGACAGAAACTGGGCTTGGCATTCCCTCGCCTCTATGACATCATGGAGGGAGAAAATATGGCCTCAGCGTTACTTCAAGTAAGTAGAAACAGAAGTGAGTTTTCAGACTTTATCCATTGTCCTGGTTTTTAAGATAACTAAGAAAAACACGACGTTTCGGAAACTGGATCTGTTTCCGTCTTTAGGTGAGGGAAAACACTTATTCTGTTGGGTCCCTTAGAAAGAGCTAGCCTCAATCACTGGACAATCGATGTCACAAAACACAAAGAATATAAACACCTGAGACCAGGCTAAGTCCATGAGAGCTAATAAGAAAAATATACATAACAAATTGTTCCAAACACATACAAGCGTGGAACCAGGATAGATAGAGCCAGTTGTCCAGTGATTGAGGCTAGCTCTTATCTAAGGGACCCAACAGAGCAGGTGTCTTCCCTCACCTGAGGACGGAAACAGATCCAGTTTCCGAAACGTTGTGTTTTTTCTTAGTTATCTTAAAAAAAAATAGGACGATGGATAAAGTCCGAAAACCGAATATCTCTGTGTGTTATACACCATCGTCAGAATCCTATAGTAACTAGAAGTGGGTTTGTTTGTTGACACACCCAGAATCTGAAGACTCGTTAAGTATGCAGCAATAACACGTTGGAAGTGACAGGCTGTGTCCATGTTCTGCCCTGAAGATGACATCTGCAATGTTGTTGCCTGTCTACAAAACCACATGGAACTGTAACTTCGTTGGGCTTGTTATAGACCACTCCCAACAAAACTCCCTAGTTTTAAATCATGATCACTCTTCCACTCCTACTAACACACATTTTGAAAAAATTTTTGCTCAGAGTTTTATCATTTTCTGCTTTTAACGTTCCACTCCATTTTACTGGGTATTCATTTTCTTTTAGCTGAATGCAGATGACAGAATAGGAGCTGACGAGGCATTGCACCACCGCTACTTCTCTCCTCTGCCACGTAAACTCTACGAATTACCAGACGGTAAGTTTCAATCTGTGATTATGTCAATATTATGCTGGCAGTTGGCCGCTGTCTTTGGTGTGTTTGATGCACAGAACATATGGAAACTGGATCCGTTTCTGACATCAGGTGTAAGTGAGGAAATGTTCTTTATGCAGTTGGGCTGTTTAGTCTTGATCACTACAGCCAACACTTTTAAATTCTTTGATTGTCCAATGATCAAGACTAACCCTTTTTAAGAGGCCCAGCTGGGTTGGAAAATTTTCCCCCTTACAGCTCATAGAAACAGGTATAATTTCAAAAACCTTTTTTAGGTTTTTGTATCAGATGTACTCATAACAGCAGAGAATGTATAACATAATACTCATGGCCGCGCCATAGCTCAAGCGGTTAGTCACTGGCTTCCCACTGCGGTGGCCCAGGTTCGATCCCGGGTCTGGTCAAGTGGGATTTGTGGTGAACAAAGTGGCGTTGGGGCAGATTTTCTCCGAGTACTTCGGTTTCCCCTGTCAATCTTCATTTCACCAATTGCTCCACAATCACACTCACCTATCATCTGGGGCTGGAAGAATAAGCCAGAAGTGGCTGCAGTACAAGGGACTTAGTCCCACCCCACCAGCAATAAAAAGAACATAATTCTCATATAATAAACCAGCCCCTGTCACAGACCTTTATAGATTTAAGTATTTTACATGTTTCTGTTATTGTCTACTTAACTTATTTTCTGAATACAGGAAATTCAGAAGTTTCAATAACAATCAAGAATACGAAAGTAACGTGGTCTTTCAGAATTGGTTTCTAAATAACTTGGCCATGGTGTCACACCACGTGCAAATGGTAAAAAATATCGGTGTTTTCGAAGAACTTGGTTCCTGTTTCTTCACTGACAATTGTGAAAATGGAAGCAAAGTGTCCTTCTACAGCGAACATGATTGTACAATGAACATGAACTGCTATGAAAGCCTCAGGTCTCATACAGTTGGCTGTAGTGTTCATACAGGGATGAATCAAGCTATTGAACAGTGTAAGTGAAATGAAGTAACTTACTATGTAAGATTTGAGGCTCTCACGGCAGTGACTATGAAGAAAGCAGTCTTCTGGGATTTGACACCGTGTATATGTGGTGTTAACCGAGTTTCGGAGGAACGTATCGCCTCCATCTTCAGGATAGAAGAAAAAATATAAGAAATCTGCAAGCTAAGAGACCGTGAGAACTGGTAAAAGCAGNCTCTTCGCTTGCAGATTTCTTATATTTTTTCTTCTACCCTGAAGATGGAGGCGATACGTTCCTCCGAAACGTCGGTTAACACCACATATACACGGTGCCAAATCCCAGAAGACTGCTTTCTTCAAGTAACTTACTGCTTCTATATTTCTAACAAACTAAGTAACAAATATTGTGGCATGTAGACACATTAAGCAAATGTACAAGAGCCATTGCTGAGTAGTGGCGTCACAAACACACATGCGCCCATGGTAACGATTGAACTCAAACAATGAGGAGCAGTGTTTTCTGTGTGGTCTGTGCCGAGATGTTACAAGCAGGACAAGTTGTGAGCTGCAGTTAGTGTGTTGGTATGAGATGACCACCAGCCCATGAGTTAGTCAGCAGGAGCAAGAGCCAGTTGTGTTATATTCGCCTGCTAGTAAGCATGTTAGCAGAGGACATTGTTAGGATCTGTTACCAGGAAATGATTAGTGAAGACACAGAAGACTTTATATGTGCTGCAGGTACAGTGATCTTAATAAAGTGTGTAAACCAATGAGACTGTTATAGTTGCTTGTAGTTACAAGTTATATGTTCAATAGTGTTCAATAAATCCAGTGGATGGATAAGTTGTGGTAATTGCCAAACTACACATCATATGATTGAAGAGAGTAATGTTCTCTTTTGAAAATGTTGATAAGGCATTGTGAATCAGTGTGAAGCCTTAACTTTTAACAGTAAAGGCATCAATCAGAGTTGCACCTCCTTTCTCCAATACTTATTTCATTTGTATGTTGACTTTCTCAGATAGTGTTTTTTGTTTTTGATTTTTGTTCACAGAGACATCTATCTTCAGTGTTGAAGGTGTGTTCTTGTACCCAGAGGGTCGGCCATGTGCTGTCAAGACTTGAAAATTTCCAATAGATATAGCATGTTTGTTACAACTATACAGGAACGAAGCCCTGCAACTGTTGGATGATTCACATCAACCACCCTGTTTGATCAGCGGTGTTGTTCATGATAAAGAATATCCACTCATCTTGTTGGAAAATAGCAGCTCAGGGACAATCATTACAATTTTACCATCGGGACTGGAACAGGGGTTTTTATGGGGGGGGGGATTTTGCGTTTATTTTGACCAACACTTACCACTCGCCACCCGCTTTTGCTCACGCTGAAACTTACTATGACATGACTCACATTCGTGTTGAAACCTTTATTTATTTGATAAAGGGGCAGTGGCGGAATGCGATAAAGGAAAGCCAAAGTTAGACGTATTTTGGAATGTTTTATGCAAGGTCCAAAGGTGTATCATATGCAGAACTGATGAATCCACGATTCTGAGCCGTGTGCGATATCTGGATTGTCTTTCAGGTTGCGATATTTTTTTGTGTGCTAGAAACTACAGAAGTGATGTGACAAGAGTGTATGGAAAATTATCATTGAAGTAGGAGAAAGAATGAAAACATAATTAGTTGAAATAATAATAATTTTAACCAAAAAGTAATATCTAGCGGTGCATTAGAAAATCAAATTTAAATCATGGCTTTCATTGAGAAGAAAGAAAGAAATGTCCTTTTGCCATAATAAACTTTGCATTGCTCTGCATACTTATTCATTCCTTCCAGAGTGCTCAATTAATTAGTCACAGTTGAAGCTGCATTAGTGAGCTGACTGATTTATTTCATAATGTAAGCCATGTTGTTATGCTAAGGTTCTCTCTTTAGCTCTCTGTAACATTGATTTTATTTTGTTGTACCTTCTGGTTTTTTTTAAAAGCTGTACATTAGTTAATTATTTTATTTAATTCGTTTCTTTGTAGTTAAATTTTGAGGTGTTCAAGTAAATCTTTATTTCATGTGGTCTGCCCCCTGATGTCTACAGGAGCAGACAGCAAATCCAGAGGAATGAAACCTCTGAATTCATGTTCCCAGAGACGAGAGAAAAGCGGCCAGTAGATGGATTGTTAATATCCTGCTATGTACGTATCTCATGAAAAGGAACATTTGCTGTTCAGTTACTCATCCTTTGTTCAAGGGGATGTTGTAATTCCTCTGTTTGTTTTGTTATTTTTTATTAAATTTAGATGCATTTTTCTACACATTGACAGTGTCTACGCTCCGAAAATTTGGCACACATGCAGCCGATAGTTCTCTGTATTTCATAACTTTTGTTTACAACGATTTACTTGCAGAAACATTTTCAAATATTTTCAGAAGGCCATATTTAAAATGGACCTGTAGAAAAAATACTGAACATACAAGTTTTTATGTATTCATAATGACTATTTCTCAGATTATGATCTGCTATGTTGCAGCACCACATGCTGGCATTTAAACCCGTACTAGTTGTACACTGCAGCAGTGCTTAGATGTCGCTGTACCACATGTTTCTCACATCATTCTTTCATTATTATATATTTTAGAAACCACTGAAGTGAAGTTTATTAAATTTTCAGGAGGTGTTACAAAAGTATAAGCTTTCATGCAGCATAATATATCACTCATTTCCATGACACACATTGTACTAAGCAGCTGGGTTGGAGGTAGCAAAACATTCCCTGTAGCTCCTGTGAAATCAGTCATCCAGAAGAAACAACCGTGGTAGTAAAAACTACAGTCTTTGCAAATATAATGTTTTAGTTTTTTTTAATGCTAGTGGGGTGGGACTAAGTCCCTTGTACTGCAGCCACTTCTGGCCTATTTTACCTGCCCCAGATGATAGGTGAGGGTGATTGTGGAGCAATTGGTGGAATGAAGATTGGCAGGGGAAACTGAAGTACTCTGAGAAAACCTGCCCCAGCGTCACTTTGTCCACCACAAATCCCACTTGCCCAGACCCGGGATCTAACCCAGGCTGCCGCGGTGGGAAGCCAGCGACTAACTGCTTGACCTATGGCGCGGTCTAATATTTTAGTTATTTTCATTCCCCACTGAGAGATAACACAACAATGACAATTTTTCTGTCAGCTTGCAGTTGGTGAGGATGTACTCGGGCCACTGCTAATAGGGTATCTCAGAGAGGCTTTTGAATACATCCTCAAGATACTGACTGTTGTGAGGTTAATCACGTTTTGATCGATATGACTCTGACTGGGTTCTATCTCCTCTGTCCCCCCATTGGTTTCAGTGGCTACCGTCCTTCCCATCTGCCTGTATCACCCCTCAACCAGTTCCCCATCTTGCACATTTCAAGTGTTAAGATGAAGGTAGCATCTGTTCCTCCAGAAATCAGTGTCCACCTACAAGACTGCATGGTGTCACAGTCCAGAAGACCATAAGTAAAAAAAGGTAAAGTTGTCCCTGTGCTTAACTAATCAATCACTATGCCATGAAGGTGTATAAAGGAGTGGATGTATAGATCCACATTTTCTTTGCCCCAGAACTAGTTGGAGGTGAGTGGTCAGCTTCACGCCCCTGCTGCTTTACCCCCCGGGGAAAGAGCCCCCAGTTTCCATTGGATAGGAGGCTGGGTGGGCCCCACAGTCAGTCTGAATGATGTGGAGAAGAGAAAATTCTTATCCCTACTGGAACTTGAATTCTGACCCCTCAGTCATTCAAACCACAGCCAGTTGCTATACCGACTACACTAGCCCATCTCCTGTGAAGACCATAACTGTTAAAAATATGTTTATAAGTAAATCATTGTAAAGAAAGGAGTTAACAGATACAGGAATCCTCAACTACATGTGTGTCAAATTAAATAATTGTAGAGCCTATGGTTGCTTAGAAAAATGCATCAAAATTGATAAAAATAACGTTTCACAGCTAAATTGTACAGTCTCCCCTTAATCGGCTCATTTCTCGCTGTATATTCTGCCTTACAGAAAACGTTTTTGTTGCTTGACGCTACGTCTTCTTCATTCAGCTTAATGACTGCACATAAATGTTGTTGCATTTTGTTGACTGTTAGCGATAGGGTGACCATACATATTTTTGTACACTAAAACAGGCATTGCGTAGTTACTGACTCCATGCAGAAGTTGTGGATGGTACAGTAGTAGAAACACTTAATGCTCTAGAAATTTAATCATGAACAGTGCATCCATATGTAATTTAACTCTGGAATTTTTAAATTAATGGTTCCAGATTATTATCAGTTACAAGCCAATTAATTCCAATAAACTGATAAGATTTGTAGTTCAACTAAGGTCAGTTTAGTTTTGTTTACCTAATTTTTCCTTCTGATATCAAGAATAGTCTTCCAAAAGTATAGTAGTATATAATGATGCCCCACGTACCCTACTACAAACCCATGACACACATTAGAAATACTGTGTAATCTGAAATTGTTTATATGAGATCCAAATTAATCCATATGAAATTGTGTATCATATGCATATTAATTATTTTGTGGTTTAGTTTCCTTCGATACAAAGCTTATGGGGCATTGTATAATTAGAATGGATTCTTTATTAAAATTCATCATATAATAATAAACATTTAAATGGGTAAATCTCTTAGTTATGTTATTTTGGGAACTACATAAAGAAACAGAACTGGATAATATTGAAACGAGGAGCAGTCAGTTGTATTTCATTACTTCATTTAGCTGTGTAGGCTGTGCCGTAACTCAGGTGGTCAGATGCCGGCTTTTCAGAGCATCAGAAAAAAAAAATAATATCACACAAGTGAAATGTGAGATCCGTGGTGGATGAAGTGGCAGTGACAGGTGTTTCTGTCAGTTTCTTCAGTTTTCCCCTGCAAAACATTGTTCCACCATTGCTCCATGTTCATCTATCACTGCCTCCTGAGGTGTGCAACAGCCCTAACCAGGCAGCACATTATCATATCCTTGGTCTGTAATCTGGAAATTCATCTCTGTCCCAGTATTTGGCTGGTTACAGAGCGAGAAAGATTTTTTTATCTAAATATATCATGCTGAAGTATGAAGCTTTAGTACAATGAAATCAGTGAGATTATCTCACTGCAGGAAATTGATCTCTTCCTTGTGTAGAGTTAGGAAATAAGATTATATGTCCTTAGCCATTCTTAACTTGCTGGAAACAGTTTGTTCCTTCAAACAGCGCATTCCAATTCGACTCCTCAAGTTTTGAGTTGCAGGTATACTTGGAAAACATTTGAAATGTTTGAGATTAGCTTATTACATGTGTGAAGAATTGAAAATGTGAGTGTTTATGAAAGCATTTGTTAGAGTCGGCTGAATATTTGAGTCTCTTACCCTTTCCATGCCACGTCCCGACTAGATTGGCTCAGGGTACTTCCGTTTAAACTGCCACCACCAAAGAGATCAGCTTCTTGCTGGTCAATCAGTGTTAGCATTTATGTTAGTAGATGGCATCAAGTGTGACATACTGAGGAAAGCATGGGATTTCATATATGTTGAAGAAAGCAGTCTTCTGGGATTTGGCACCATGTATATGTGGTGCCAAATCGCAGAAGACTGCTTTCTTCATAGTCACCTCCGTGAAAGCCTCAAATCTTACATATATGTTGTTTGAAGCTGTATTGAAGAGAGTACTGTAGGGTCTTTCTTTGCAGACGCATTTAGCTCCAAGAAGCCCAGAATTTCTAGCTGGTAGTTCTGTGGCAGGGCTTGGCAGTCAAAGGGTCAGATTTTTAATTGAGATTGTAGCTCTTGCATGGTAAAGGGTGAGGACTGTCACTAGAATTCTGTAATAGCGACATCCTCTGAATTCTAGTTAATGCAATATTTGATCTGTTTTAGTAACACTAGAAGCAGTAACGATGGAAACAGTATATAGGGTCACCCTGTAATGTAGTGTTCAGGTTGAATATCCAAAATCGTATTTTTGAAGTATGAAGGAGAACTTAAATATTTCCATATTTGTATTCTGCATTTCATTTCTTGTCCAATGTGCCAAAACTTTCCCTTTTTCTTTTTTTTTTAACTTATTATTTTCACTTGCATTTAGTGGTGTTGCATTTGAACTGTGATTTCAACAGTAAATACATGTTGGTTTGTGACAATCCACTTTTCTGATACTATATTTGAGGATTTATGATGATTTGTAATGTGAGAATGGATGGCATTTCAGATGTATTGTGTGATCAGTGTAACACTACAGCGAGTGGTGTTTTGTTTTTGTCTGTTCCAAACTATGCAACTGAACCCCCCATTATAAATCTTAAGTAGCAAATAAGAGTCAAGTCACTTATTTTAATTTTGTCACTCCAGTAATGTGTATGTCTCATTTTTTCTTCTTTTTCCTTTTTGGGTGAGCTGAATTTTTCTAGTGTTAAGAAATTGTAAGTATAAGATAGAGTAAACCAGGAGAGAAAGAACAAAAAATGAGAGAAATGAGAATTTAAAGATAAATTAATAAATAACAGAATAAGATGGTATGACATATTGGAAGAATGAAAGATGAAAAAATACCAAAGAAAGTTATGAAGATGTTAGGAAGGATGTCACAGAGGAAGGTAGGAAATTGAGGACAAGGAGGTTGGGAAGGCAGAGGTGATGGAGAGGTTCAGTTTTTAAATTATCCAACTAGAAGTGTAAACATCAAAGGTTGAAGAACGTATGAGAAATAGAATGTAAAATTTAAAACAATTTAGATTTTGTACAGATGTATACCGTTAATTTTTTTAGCAAAAATAAAGATTCAACTACCGAAATGTCTTCTTGAAAACGCTCGCTTCAGGGCCATCATGTTCAGTACTGCAGGTTGTGTTTGCAGGAAGCCACTGAACAGTACAATCCATCCTTCTGTCAAGTATTACATCTGTCTTTGTTTTTGATATAAGTATTTATTTCTCTTTCAGAATAATGTTGTGACACTATTAAAACATTATTAGACTATTTTCAATTATAATGGGAACAAGAGTCTACATACAGGAGCTTTCATGGAAAAAATTTGACTTTTTTCTGTGACTGTTGCATTCAGGTGGATGTACCCTTAGAGATGTTTTAGACAAAATTTACATTACATTACATATGGTTTGCTGTTATCAGTGTATGTTCTGAGTTTAATGCACCCAAATTCTGAAAGGAAAGGCCTGCAGAATCTATGGAATAATTAATTAGTGCAGTGCAGTAAACAACTATCAGCACATTAATCATTTTTTGAAATTGTTCATCGAAATCTGTATTTTACAGACCCCTGAAAATTCTGCTACCACTACCCCTATATTGAACTTTAAATGTCATGAAAGTCGCCATCATTTCAAAATTGCATCTGTGATAAGTAAAATAATGCAAAAACCGATACCAAATTATCACACACAATTCTAATAGTGAATGATGTGCTAATGGATTTGCCATCAACACCAGACATCGGAACACTCAATCTGGATTTATGTACATTGGTACAGAACTGCATAGTGTAGAGTTTTGCAGAGGAATTTCCAAGGGAAAGCATGCATATTATACTCTAGGAATTTATTTCACGTTATTTAGATATTAACATTTGAAAGGAACTAAAAAATGAACATTCCATGTCAACAAACATACTTCTGATATAAGATGTAAGGTTCTCACAGTGACAGATACAAGATTACATCTTCTGGGATGCAGTGCTGTGTAGCTTTGTAGAATTGTACCAACATTTCAGAGGAACCTACTGCCACCATATTTAGGGTACAAAAATAATTCTTCCACCCTGAATATGGAGGCAACAGGTTCTACCGAAATGTTGGTACCTGTCTGTCAAGCTACCCAACATTCCATCCCAGAAAATGATCTTCAAAATTCTT